ACACTCTAGCAGATGTGTAATGATAAAGTTAATGATAAGTATCTTTTCATACGCTTACTGGTCATATAATGTCTTTGGAGAAATGTATTTCAAATCCTTTGCCCGTTTTCCATATTGGATTATTTGCCCATTGTTGAATTGTAAGTTCTTTCTATATTCTGGATATGAACTACATATTAGACATAGGACTTCCAAATTTCTTCTCCCATTCTGTGAACTATTTTTTACTTGTGCAGAGTATAGAAGGAAAGAAACACATCCCATGTCAGCATGACCAGGACTCTTTGACCTAAGATGAATGACGGCATGATGAGTATCCAGGAGTACAGGTTGACCTACCTAATCCCAACCTGGGAGCCCTGGTGGAGCTCTTCACTGTTTTCTAAGGGGCCCTTGGGATCACCCACAATGACATCTTTAGGGATTCTTGTTGCCTGATGTCATAAGTTTTTGTGACTTAAAGCCTCATACCAAGGAGCAACACTTGGGGCTTATTTAATCCGGCCACCACCCACACAAGGAAACCTGCCCAAGAGGGAAATATAAAGTTCTACAGCTATGGCTGTTACTCCCTGACTGTTCGCCCTGGTCCACTGGGGCCCTCTCAGCCAGGCACAGTCCTCTGCAAAATGTTCCCATGGGTTGATCCAGTGTGAGGCTCCAGACGGGAGCTCAGCCAACTAGAACATCACCCCAAGCTGCTGTTCACTGTGCCAGGCAAAGCAGCTCTGCCCTCACTGAAGCCTGAGGAGCTCATTGTAGGAGGCAATCTTCCAGACTGGGTCTGACCAATGCTTGTCTAACCCAGAAGCTGTCATAGGCCCTGAGCTTTTCCCACACACCCACCTGTGACTCTGAGGCCAGGAGGGCACCTGTTCCCCAGCAGGCCAGAGCATACCAGGTGAAGGAGGCTTTTATTCAAGAGAATACTGAAGTTGAGGATGCTCAGCCAGGCCGCCTAGCAGAAGAGCTGGAATCCAGGGCAGGCGAGGCTAGGGAGAATTCATCCCTGTGGTTGCTGAGACTCATTGAGCACAGCTGGGACCTTGTCATAGACACAGGAGGGGGCTCTTCTCCTGCCACTCTGTGGAAAAGAATGTAGGAGCAGCCAGGCACGGGAGTGGATTAAAGGATAACTCTCAGCTATTTATTGACAGAGCTACTGTGAGGGGAGGAGAGGACATGTCCCCCTGATGAGGGCAAAGACGGCAAGAAGGATCCCCACTGTGGAGGCACATGGCAATCGGGGCTGGTTGTTCTCTAGAAGTCTCCTAGGACTAGAAGAATGTCCCATGGCAAACATTTTGTAAATATTTGAGATTTTTTTTTTAACATCTGATGATCAGGGGTGGAGTAATGATGATGGTCCAAAGAAGCTGTATATCCTGTGGACACTGAAGAATTGCCACCTCAAAGCCAAGAGTGTCCTCCTCAGTCAACACTGGTAGAGAGAAAAGGTTCAAATGGTCAGGAGTCTGACCATTTGATGGTCAGTAAGAAAACTTTTTAAATGAATAAGCAATTAGGTATAAAGATTCCATGCAGGTGGGTGCTGGGGAGTCTGAGACCCTGGCCTAAGGAGGCTGGAGGCTAGAGACCAGCAGAGGAGCCACCTATGTGTGAATAGGTCTGTGTAACAGAAGGCAGAAAGCCCTAGGACCCATAGTAGCTCATGAAGAGCTCGTGTGCTGTGATTTCATCTGTGCAGGCCTGGGCTCTGAATGGAATCTCCCCATTTTCATACTATTACAGTGAAACTATACCCAGAGGTCCCCACCTAATCAGAAAGTCCCATTGAGTTCTATTTTTGAAGACTCAGAATCTTTTTAGCTTTGCTTTGAAGGTTTTCCTATGAGGTGAGGATTCTCTCTCTGGGAGCACGTATTTGATTCTGGGTCCTGTGAAGAATGACACTTTTACAAGCCTTAGGCCCCGATACAGTGGAGGCGTGCCCCTTTGGATGCCTCCATAGGGAGCGTCCACCCAAAACAATACTCGGTGGACAGTTGGGCGCGCGCTCATCAGCTTTACCCACACACCTTGTCCTTGGTGTGGGTTTTTCTCAAGAACATGTTTGCAAGAAGAGGAGAGGGATCACACAGGAAGCATGAGCAGTTGAGATCTTTGGAAGCTTTGCAGCTTTCCATCACTCCATGTGATGAACTCATTGGCTGCTAGTGAGATGTTTTTGTCAGGCAGGTACCTTTGTCTTGCAGGTAAGGGAAGTAAGGTATTCCAGGCCAGGACTGCAATCATGCTGCTGGCCAAGGTCAGAGTCAGACTTCTATTCTTGAGGCTCATTCCAAACTGGCCCTGATGTCTTTGAAGTCACATCTCCCCACACTCATGATTTCCTTGAATTATGGATCTGTCAGCACTAAGACTTTCAAATTAGAAACATTTAAGGGTTTTGGCCCAGCTAAATGCTGCCTTAATTATTTCCCCAGCAAAACTGCAAGCTCATAGGGAGAAAAAAGTGAGTACACAAATAACCCTGATGCAGAATGTGGGAAGTGCCCTCTGAAAGTCATGAGAAAGTGCCCAGCAGCTGTGAAGGGAGAGCCCACATGGTGGCGCGAACCTGTAATCCCAGCAACTCTAGAGGCTGAGGCAGGAGAATGGCAAGTTCAAAGCCAACCTCAGCAAGTTGGATCCTAAGCAACTTGGTGAGACCCTGTCTCAAAATAAAAAGGGTTGGGGATGTGGCTCCATCATTAAAATCCCCAAGTTCAAAAATAAAAAGTGGTAAGCCCCTGACCAGTGAAGACTGCATAAGTGAGTTGAATGTTGACTGGTGGTCATGGGCAGCAAGGAGAACTAGATTTGTGAAGCCCTTTCTCTTGTGCATTATTCTTTCTCACCCAAATCCATCTTTCCCTGTGTGGAAGTATCAGAGAATGGTCTACATCTAAAACTGGGAGGGAGTCTGGGGAAGAGATTAGGGAAACAGTAGCATTTGCATGATTAAAAGACAAAATACACATATGTTAGCAACTTGTCAATGCTGGCTGTCTGGTTCACAGTCCTCTGGAGTGAATCATCCAAGAATCAGAACTTGGGAGTTTTCTTGACACTTATGCATGATTGAAATAATTGAAGCAGCATTTATCTGGTTAATAATCTTCAATGTGTCCAATAATAAAAGTGCCTGTTGGAGATGGCCAGTGACTCAGTCCCTCCACAACTGGAAGGTGAGGAAGTTTCTGCTCAGTGAATGGAGGAGCATTTTCCTGGCCATAAGCAGAGGCCAGGAGCTCTAAGTGCCCTCTGCCCTCCCTTCTGAAGGTAGTCTGCACGGACAGTGAGCAGGCCTTGGAAAGACCCAGGAGCTCTAAGCAGAATGCTTCCCTCATTCCTAGTGTGCTGCATTTGTGACAGAACCAGTTGAAAGCTAAGGGGCATAGAGACAAAATAGGATTGCCAAGGTTGGCCCAGGGCAATGGGATTTCCTTTTGGGGTTGTGAAAATGTTCTGGAATTCAATTCTGGGGATGGTTGCACAACTCTGCAAATGTATTAAAAATTACTGAATTGGACACGTTAAAAGGCCAAATTTTATGGTAAGTGCTAGCTTACAAAAGCTTTTATTAAAAGAAGCAATCTCTAACTAACCATGCTACATAGAAGAAAAAAGATTAGAAAGATGAGGAAAAATGTTATTTTCTACTCGCCCCTTCTGAGAGACCCACGGCTATGTTAGCAATCTTCTACCAAACCAAGGAAGGTAACCATGATGGAGGAAGGTGGAGGGGAAAGAGCAGGGAACTCAGCCTCCATTTTCCTTTGCGGCCCAGGCTGTCATGAGATCCTGGAGTTGAAGCAGAAGAGTTCTCAGGGGTCCTAACACTAAGCAGCACATTTCTCTAGAGAGTCTCCAAAGGACTCCCTTTAAAGGCCAAGAACCCCAGGGAAAGGGATACAACCTGCTGACATTCTAGTGACATCTTAGTGTTAATGAACCAACCTGAGCTGTGCTGGTCCCCTAGCAAGGCCCCAGTGATGGAATCGCACAACACCTGTTGACTCCCAGAGGAGGTGCACACAGCAAGTGCCCCTGGACACCAGGCATGTCAGTCCTCTTGATGCCTCTGAAGATGAGAGCCAGGGCTGGCTGCACCCCCAGGGGACAAGGATGTAGCAAAGGGTGGGGGTGCACTGTATTGACTTTTGGAGGGACATAGACAAACTGTCCTTCCAGGCAAGAGTGGGTTGACTCGGTGTGCAGTTACAAACTTGCAAGCATCTCTGAAAATGGTTATGGAATTGAGCTGGGGGCATGCTGCGATCCCTGGCTGTTCTCATGAGCAAGTTGGCCCTGCTAAGGGAATAGTGAGGACTGCATTCGTTAATATAGAAATCAGAGGCAGAAGGACAAACTTAAGGCCCTCTTAAAGACACTCTGCCAGAACACACAACACTGCTTCCTTGCATAAATAGTGGATTATAAGTCTCTCCAGTTGTGTGACGTGCTGGGTGCTATCTTTATAGGGCACTATAGTAAGGAGAAAAAAGGAATTGTGAGCAAAATCAACTGGGGAGAAAAATGTCTCCTCCTAAACTTATTCAAATATGAATAAATTTATCCCTAGGGATTAGGACATGGGTGCTTGTTATTTGCTAGTGTATACTTTTCTGTATTAAAAAATGTTTATAATGAACAGCGTCCATTCTATAAGAAGAAAGCCAATGTTCTAAAAGCAAAGCTGTGACCATGTGCCTCTGATAGCAGTTGCAGGGGAGGGAATTCCACGTGCTTTGGTGGAGACCCTGCTTGTACTTAACCAGACGCATTCTTAACCCCTAGTGCTCCAGCCCTAACTCCAAGAATCACAACACTGAAATCCTCAAAGGGCTGTAGGTGGACCAAACTCTCCTGGGACTGGGTTTTGCTCCCATGAGAATGATTTTGACCTTATGAGATGGCATCTGAGATCACCCATGACCCCTATGTGGCCCAGAGGCAAGGACTTGTCACCTGACACACCTTTGCTCGCTCTCCAGGTGGACCTACCATGACTTCTTCAACCGCTACCGAGTGCTGGTGAAGAAGAGGGAGCTTGCCAACACAGACAAGAAGGCCATCTGCAGGTCTGTCCTGGAGAGCCTCGTCAAGGTGAGCTGGGCTCCAGGGACAGTATGACCAGGAGACCCTGAGAAGAGAGGGTGGGGGTTACCTGCTGCTTTTTCCTTCATCCTCCTTGGAACTCCTGTTGGAGATGTTTAGTGGATTTTCCTACATGGAGAAAAAAACAGCCTCTTCACCCATAGAGAGGATCTGCTAGGCTTTTCATGTCTCGGTACACAGGAAAATGTAGTTGTTGGTACAGCTCACTGGAGGCACAAGGAGACTCCCCCTGGCTGCCGTCTCTGGCTCCTCCATAGCTGGGCTCATGTACACCTGGTGGGGTCTCAGATCTGGAGCCCAGGTCAGCAGAGGGAAAAAGCTGTTTTTATTTGTCATTGCATAGCCAGCCTCAGATCGTCCTCAGATACTTGTTTCACATAAAGTAAAGGAATTTGTGTGTGTGTGTGTGTGTGGTTTTTTTAAATAACCTGAAATCACACCTGACAGTTGAGACGGGAGAACTATGAAAGAGAATTAATAGAGGAAAATTGTTAAACATTTCAATAGTTCAAGAAAATTCAGAAACACTAGAAGAGTGTGATAATGTTTTGTTAAAGTGTTAAATCATGTCAAGAATCTTCCTTTTAAAAAGGTGGTAAAATAATTACCTCAAAAATTTTAAAAATGTCAAGTATTTTGCTAGAAAATCTCACACGGGATGGTTTATCGTCATATGATTAGGAGTTAAGTTTGTGTTTTATTTCATAAATATATTCATCTTAACATCATTTTAGCTACTCAAGTTTGTAGCTTTGGACAGACAGTGCAGAATACCGTACTAAATGAATATGTTTTTAAGCACCATTTTATAAAGATAGAGCCCAAATACCATTCACCTTTGCCACCCCCACCCTTTAAAAAAAAGAAGATAACAGCCTGGTTAATTGAGGGTTGTTTAGTCAGATTCTGGTTAGCTGAAGTTTTGGCTGTGTTTCATTTGTCAGTGTCTATTTGAACATCTCTTTTCTCATGGGTGAGATCAATCTGTTCAGGTCGGCTGACCTTGGTTAACATGGTAGGAGTCTTCCTCCTCACTGGTACCAGAGCTGGCCTCTCAGTGTGCAGTCCAGGACTGCCAAGGATTCCTCTACCATGTGGCTGCCTTCTCTTCCCCAGGTCATAGCTGCCTTCTCTCCCTCTTTCCTGGATTTCTCCAAGGTTATTAGCAGAACCTCTTATTCCTAAAGGGACACACACCTATACCATGCTCCCCTCCTGCTAATGGGACTGCCTGGGGCCTGACTCCTTGATGCACTTAGACCACTGGGCCTTGCTGGGCACAGCTGCCTCTTCACAGATGAGGAGTAGCCTGCCCACTTCCTGGTGCTTACCTTCATGGCTGACCCTGCTCTCCTGCTGTCCTGGACCCAGCACTTGCCTATAGTCCTTCATGTCACTCTTGGGGCCCATGTCCTTGCTATCCCATGTTTCGGGTGCATGCAGCCTTCCCTTCAGGGGAACTGTCTCTGCATTGACGCTCCCCTCTACTTACAAGCACTTGGTATGACACAGGGAACCCACCAAACATTTGTGGGATGAACACACAAATGACTTGCCTAAAGGCAAATTAATGAGTACATGCTGTTTCCTCTGCCTGGAGTGCTTTTTCTATTACCTGCCTGCCCAGGTTCTCCTCCCAAACTGAGGTCTGAGAAGTCCATTCCTGGCCTCAGGGGGGAGTTAGCTACTCCATGTTCTATGGGCCAGCAGTGCTTGATGCCTGTCTGGCTTTATTGCCTTTATGCCCTCATGTTGCAGTTGAAGGTTTGTCTGTCATTTCCCAAGACTGCGAATGGGAAAATGGCAAGGCTCTTACTGTGGCTGTGTTCCTACCATGATTCCTGGTTGTCACAGGAAGTATGAGTTGGCGCTGGTGGCTGTGCGGGACTAACTAGATGAGCCCATCATGATTAGAATCCTGCAGTAATGGCTCATCTCGTGAGGAAGGTGCAGCTTTATCTGTGAAGCAACAGGATGGCTTGGAATGGATCACTAAGGTTGTTTTCAGCTCCCTCAGTCTGAATCTTAGATAAAAATTAACACAAGATGTTTGATCCAATAATATGCTAACAGAATAGTAAATTCAGGGGATTAGAGGCACTTGGGTGTATTAGAGATGCATGGGGAAAGAAGAGTATGAAGAACAGGCTGCTGGGTGACTGGAGCAGGTGGGATCCCCTAACTGTCCTGTTGGTGAAGGCCAAATCACCCCTTCCTGTTTATTTCCAGAATAACAAATGAAGCATGCATGCTATGTTTCCTGGGATTCAGCAACCACCCCCCCTTCTCTCATTCTGCTGAAACCAAGTAGCTGAGCTTGTCCCCGATTCTGACCCCTCTTGCTGAGCAGGACTCTCCCCACACAGGGTAGCAATCAAAGCATGGCATCTGCTGCCTGGAAGCTTCCTGGCCCATCCAGCCCTGTGTCTCAGTATGAGCTACAGGCCCACTGGAGGTGTGGCCCCAAGCAGACACAGGCATGAGAACCAACCCAGGCCCCACCTCACCTGCAGCCAGGCCCATGGAGAAAACAACCAGTGATACCCCAGCTGGAACTATGTCTCAAGCTCAGGCAATCTAAGCAATGCTGCCTTCCCAGCGTGGAACCCATTCCTGTCACCTGCATAGGGATTAGCCCATGAACGATGGCCCAGCATTCCTTCAGAGCCATTTGCCAGTGTGAAGCACATTCTTGTGTGTCCTCCACAGACTTTGGCTCAGTCCCTCATCTTGCCATGGGCTTCATGCCAGTGAGCATGTGGGATGGCAGTGGATTTGCAGAGCTTCAGGACTTCATGGATTAACTTTCTCAGTGTTCTTCTCCAGGTTTATCCACAGCCCTCTGGTCATCTTTTCTCATCCACTGGGGTGAATGCAGGGAAGGGCAACTAATTTCAACTTAATAGATATAATTAAGATAGTCATTACATGTTCAAAAACCAGTTTTATTTGGTGATTATTTATACTCTGTAATTTGTGTACAACTGCAGCCATTTAAAGATAATCTTTAAAACGTTGACCAGATAAGGCCAGTGCTTTGCTCAGAACCCCCAACACATGGCTCCCATCCCAACTTTGTACCAGACTTGCCAGGCCTTTCATGACTGGTTCCTCACATCCATCCACCTTCAGCGCCCATGCTTAGCCGTCCTGGCTCTCGTTCCTCAACATGCCTGGGTTGTTACCAGCACAGGGTGTGAGCATCTGCCCTGCTCCTTTGAAGAGTTCCTCTTTGCTACTTCTCTATGGCTGCCCACTTGGGTCCATTCAGATCTTTGCTCAAAGAGCACCTCCCGAGGGGCCTGTCTTCGGCATCATTTTTAAACACCCCCTGTTTGACTTTCTCCCTGATACTATCACTGTCTGAAAGCAGGGAGTGGCTTGTTGGCTTCTCTGTTGCCCATGCTTCTCCAGGCAGGCATCTTTATAGCCCATCCTGGGTGACTCGCCCAGCGCCTGTTATGTAGGGTGGACCCATTGTCTGTCGAATGAGTGCTCTGTGTGTGTACACCCACATTGGAGGGCCACTTGAGATCTAGTGGGAAGAACTGGGTGGCATGGGGCAGGCTGCCACACTGCTCACTGATGACCAGCCAGCTCTTCTCCCTTCCCCATGAAGGATCCCGACAAGTTCCAGTTTGGCCGCACCAAGATCTTCTTCCGGGCAGGCCAAGTGGCCTACCTAGAGAAACTGCGGGCCGACAGGTTCCGAGCAGCCACCATCATGATCCAGAAAACCGTCCGGGGCTGGCTGCAGAAGGTGAAGTACCGCAGGTTGAAGAGGGCCACCTTAACCCTGCAGAGGTACTGCCGAGGATACCTGGCCCGCAGGTGAGCAAGCCCAGGTATATCTGGGGCAGGGAAGAGGGCAACTGCCTCTCAGCTAGGTGATCTCTTGTCCATAATTAAAGCAGGTTCTGTGGAGCCCTGTCTGTTCCTGGGCTCTGTCCCAGTGGGAGAGCATCCCTCTAATGCCTTCTCACCTCAGGAATTTGGTCTAGTTCCCAAGTCAGGTGCCCCCCAACTGCCCCCATCCCACCAACACCAGCCTAGAACCTAGTTTTTGTACAAATCACTTCCTCTTTACCTAAACCCTACAGTAAAAATAATAAGAAAAAGAAACTTACACCTAGAATCTACCCCTTCCATCACAGTACACTTACACATAACCTCACTCTGTGTACCAGGAACTTTTGGAATCCTTGGAGTTTGTAATTAGTCTGGGAAGGTCCTAGGAGGACATTTTATGAGTTGCTGCACTGATCCAGTACAGACAGGGTATGACTTGCCCAACCACAGTGGCTCTTTGCCAAGATGACAGTTGGGCTCCCCTGCCCAACATTTATGCCAGCCTGATACCACGCAGAGGAAACTGCTTTCACTGTTCCTTCTCCTGTCCACTGAGGCAGGCATGGCCTCCTGTAAGCTATATCTTAGGCCCCTCCACAGACTCTCCTGGGATACCCCGGGCCTTCACAGGTGGATCCACTGCCAGCACCTTCTCTAAGAATTTTCTCTAGAGAAGTAACAGTAATTGCCCCAAAGTCTTGTGTTTGAGAGTCAAAGTTTCAAGTGGCTGCTCAGCCATCTCTGCTAGAGAGCACGTGTGCAGGAGTGTAACAGACCTGACCCGAATTCTCCCTGCAGAAAGCCTGTAATCCAGGGGCACATATCTGAGGAAAGCAAGCACAGGGAGCTGCACTAGGGAATTGTGCATTTCACCAAGTATGAGCATCTGGCCTGGATGGTTCTTCTGAGGTTGTGCTAAATGATTTCTAAGGATCTTTCTAGCATGGGACATTGTGGACCTTGGGCTGAACACTTGCTGTGAGCCTGGAGCAGAATAAGATTCTTAAGGATGGGAGGCATCAACCTGGCTGTTTTATTTGGGAAATGAGATGGGGAATGCAGGGATGAAAGAAAGGAGAGATGCTCATAGGGCTTCCAGGGGAAAGGGCCTAGGGAGATGAGAAAATGGGGAGGAGAGGTGGGGGCCTGAGGAGATTCAGTCATTCAGCAGATATTTGCTTACTGCCTGCTTTGGGGGGCCCTGAACTAGATCTAGGGGTGCAGAATGATTGAGATGTAAACCTGGGCATCCCCAAGCCTGGAGAGGCACAGGCAGCAATGTAAATGCATGGAGGATGGGGAGCACCAAGGGTGTGTTGCAGGGGACTGCCCAGGAGCTGAGAGTAGTCGGGTAAGGATCACAGAGGAGGTCAGACTCAGACCAAGGCCAATGCTGGTGGGAAGTCTTTTGGGAACCCCAAGAAGAAAGGGAACCCTACAGTTCTGAGCCTATGGATTAAGTGCTGTGTTTGTGAAGGACAGTGAGAGCTGTCCCGGTAGGACCATGGTAGGGAGGAGCTTCCTTTGCAGACACCTCAGGGGCCTCGGTGCCAGCTGGCCAGCGTGCTCTCCCTGATGCTACTCACCCTCTCCCGCCGACAGGCTGGCCGAGCACCTGCGAAGGACTCGGGCAGCAGTGGTGCTCCAGAAGCAGTACCGCATGCGGAGAGCCCGCCTGGCTTACCAGAGGGTGCGCAGGGCTGCCATCGTCATCCAGGCCTTTGCTCGGGCCACGTTCGTGCGCAGAATCTACCGCCAGGTAGGTGGCCACCCTGAGGGACTCAACAGCTAGAGTCCCGCCTACAGCAGCAGTGAGTGTCACCCACAGGAACATTTGTTGGCTGCTACTAACTTTTTTCTGAATCTCTCACTTCACATGTCTGCTCTTACCAAATCCTTCCCGAAGTCCTGCAAAGAGGGAAGGTGGTGTGATGGCCTTCCCCCTTGACCCCTAAGCTGCCCAGAGGAGCTCAGTCTCCTGCCTCGGGGCACCTGTGAGCCAGCGGCAGAGCCTGGTGACTGACCTAGCTTGTTCAGACTTGAACAGGGGGTGGTACTAGGCCCCAGCAGACTGAGCCCTTTCTAGATTAGAGGCCTGAGGCCTGCTGAGGTGAGGCCAGGGGAGGGCCGCTGTCACCTCCCTGCTGGGCCGTTGCTCTTTGCGTTACTCCATCGAGGCTGAAATCCTGGGTTCAGAAGCTCTCAATCAGCACGTTCCTTCAGCCAGAAAACTGTGCAGCTGAAAGCACGATGCTAATGGGAAAGTCAAGTTGGAAGCAGGTGCCCGAGATGTTTGTTTCCTAAAAATGAATATTTGTGCTTTCTATGATCAGAGGTGTGAGGGTTTTTTTTCCTAAATGATAAACCTAAAACACTGAATCAGTGATGACAGAACAAGCATGACCCTGTGATGGTGGATGCACCTGGTATAATGGAGTCCCAGGCCAATGGGAGAAGGTTCCGTGACTTCTGGAGTGACTGATAATGGTGTAATGATGCATCTGTGATAGGGGCAGGTGACATTTTTTAGGTAACCAGTAGGGGGCAGCACGTGCAAGGATCAAGCACTGAGTGTCTTGCAGCTGTGACACGGGGTATGTAAACTCAATATTTTATAGGGTATTAAGGCAAGAACATTGATGCTTTGATTTTTTTGAGTGGCTTTTAACTTTTTAGAAAAACTAACTCATGTGCAGTTAACTTATAAGCCAGATAATTTATAACCTTTTGGGACCTCTCACTGGACGGTACACTCTATCTTCTAGTTCCCCTGCACCAGGACGGGATCTGCATCTGTCAAATGGGGAGAGATCAATAGGCTAATCATTAAATCCCCCAAATGGTGAAGTTTTTAGACTGTGGCTCCCTAGGCAGGGAAACAGAAAGCACAATAAAGCTAAAATAAGAGTCTGACAGCTGATTCCCTTGGGTACTTGGGCTGCAGAGCCTGGCTACAATTCATTCATAAAACAGCCATCAATACCTTAGATGCTGGGGGCCTGTCCCCTCAGCCTCATCATCCAGGTGGTTCCATGAGCTTCCCTTGCTTCTGTCCTGTGGTACAAACCCACAGGGGGTGTGTGCCTGCCATTCCCCTCCAGGTCCTCATGGAGCACAAGGCCACCATCATCCAGAAGCACGCCCGGGGGTGGATGGCACGCAGGCATTTCCAGCGGCTGCGGGCTGCAGCCATCGTCATCCAGTGTGCCTTCCGGAGGCTCAAGGCCAAGCAGGAACTGAAGGCCCTCAAGATCGAGGCCCGCTCAGCAGAGCACCTGAAACGCCTCAATGTGGGCATGGAGAACAAGGTGGTCCAGCTGCAGCGGAAGATCGATGACCAGGTCAGTGTGAGGAGCTCCCTTCTCCATTGTCAGGATGGGTGGGGCACCAAGGGTATATTTGAGAGAGACCCGTAGCTTCCTCGGGAAATGACATGTGCCAGAGACTTGAGGAAGCCTAGAAGTCCTCGAGGTATCTCCCCACCAGTAAGAACAGTTCCTGACCATGGCAGGCAGAACAATGGCCTCCCAAAGATGCACACATCTAAACCCCTGGGATCTGTGAATGTTGCTTCACAGAGCAAAAGGGCTGCTCAGATGTGAATGACCTAAGGATCTTGCAATAGGGAAATGATTCTAGATTTTCCCGGTGGGCTGATGTGAGCACAAGGGTCCTCAGAGAGGAGGAAGGATGGGTGGTGAGACTGAGGGGAGGAAATATGGAGAAGGGGCAATGGGGGCGGGGGGCAAAGAAAGCAGGTAGTCTCTAGGAACTGGCAATGCTGCAAGCAGGATTCTGCCCTGGAGTCCTCCCAACTCCAGAAAATAACCACTGCTTTCAGGAGGTTTTAGCTTCTTTGCTTAAGGAAAGCTTAAGCCACTTTCCCACATCAGCTGAACAAACAAGGAATTGTTAGCCTGCAGGAAGGGTGCTGGGCGTGGTACTAAGAGGGATTCAAGGCAAACACAGGACATGCTCCTGGGGGGGGCAGATACACCTGGGCAAAATCCAGGTTGGAATGGGGCTTGCACACGCACACACCCACTCTCGGGTGGCCCAAGTGGTCTGTCCTCCTTCCCCTCTAACTCCTTGATTCAGGTGGACGAGGGATAACTTTGGCACAAGTGGAATGCTGTGCTATGGGAAAGAATCTTCCTGCATTAGGACCCATGGCATGGCTCCCCATCATGACTTGCTGGGTACCACTTGTGCCAGTCTGTGATGCATGCTCTGTATTCACTCATTGACTCCTCACTTCACTTGAGGTCATTTCACAGGTGGGGAAATTGCAGATCAGGCCACAGAATTAGGAGGTATTACAACCTAGGTTCTGCTCACAGCCATGATGAGGGCAATGCTAGTTTTTTTTAACTGCAAACACTGTCATCGGTTCTTTCCTCCTATAGTCATTGCTGAGTATGGAAAAGAGGCTCACCATCACCTGGCTCCTGAAGGGTGTCAAGGTGACCCCAGGCCCAGGCTCTTGTAGCACCCTGGAGGGTTTCACTACTGCTAAGAGAGGAAAAGGACATAGTGTGATGCTGTAGGGGTCTGAAGAAAGAAACTAAGTTGGGGCCACCAGCCATGGCCTTGGAGGTGACTTGGTTTTACTGCACCTATCCTATACTGGACACTTCTAAAACTTATTGTGACCCCAATAACAGGAATATAAGTAAGCCATTTTATACCTAAACCAGCTGTCCCAATGCAGTGCCTAGATGACAGTGCTGTGTTTCAGGTTTCTGAGAAGAGGTGTTACCCCAGGGCTGTGCTTTTCTGTTTAGGTTCTCCAAGGTACCTGTTCCACTTGGCTCCTTAGTAAGGAATCAAGGCAGAAGGCCCAGGTATAGGATGGGCTACATTTGATCCCTGCCCCTGGTCAGCCTGCAGCAATTGGCCAGGTGAGGGAAGAAGTCCCACCTGCTCAGAGGAGAGGGTCTGGTCTCTGGCCCTGGCCATGTGGATTAAACAAGTGCAAAGAACACCAGGCTTTTGGTTTTGCTTGATAATGAAAGGGTTGTTGATGACTGGCCAGAAAAGGCATGGAGTAGTCCCGGTTTGCCCAGCTGACCTTCTGGGCAAAGTACACTTAGAGGGACGTGGAGGCTTTGATGCTGCCTCTGCCAGGATCCCTGTGTGCTTGCTGGCCACTCTGACCCTCAGGTTCCAGATAGGGCTGTACACTGACCTTGCTGATTGCTGAAGTCAACTTCAAAGGATAAAAATAAATCTAAATTTTACAATCCATGTGTTTGAACATCAAAGAGAAGCAAATTTAAAAGGCCTTTTTTAAATTTTTTTAAGCTTTTTGGCTTAAGTTTCCTGCTAACAAACATCTGTGAATACTGACAAGCATTAGTCACCTGGGCAGGGTGCCCTGCATGCCACAGGTGGTCACAAGGGGCGATGAGATCTTGCTTTCTCATGTGTCTACCCATATTGCCTACGTGCTGGGCACTGTTTTCACATACTAACTTAGTGAATCCTCACCACAATCCTAGGAGATCAATGTTAATATATTTATTTCAAAGATGAGGACATTGAGGCACAGAGAATGTAAGTAGCCTAGTAAGTAGCCTGTGTGGCATTGACACTGATGGGCTGCTTTCAGGGCATGGTCTGCCACCTCTGACCAAATTGCTAGATCTCTCACACTGCGAGACACTAACCTTGGTTTGGGTTCATGCTCATATGATAGCATTGTCCTTAAGACTGGCAGATATTTACAGTGTGTGCTGTGGGGTCAGGGGATGACCCAGAGTCCAGGGTGCCTGCCACCCTGCTGTGAGAGAAGGCATCAGCATCCTCTTCACTGCCAGCTCTCTAGAGCTGCTGGTTTTATTAGCAGATGAGGCCAACTGTTCAGCAATCTATGAGTTGCTTTTCTTGTGATTCTTGGAAAAGATTCGGGCAGCTTCTCTCTTGACACATAGGCAAGGTTCGAAGCTGGAAGGAAGTCATGCATGTGTCAGGGAAGACAAAGGCAAAGGTGTCCCAAGGTACTGGTCAGAGTAGCATGAGGAAGAGGACCAAGGCCCAGGTCGATGGAGACAGTCCTGTAACAAGTACCCCGACCCCTGCCATGAGTCGGCAAGGACAGAGACTGAAAGAGAAAAACCAGGCTAAGGTGGCATCCCAGATGCCTGTCCTAAGACTACACCCCAACTGGAGAGGGAAGACAGATTCAGCACCAAGTTCCCAAACAAGTGACATAGAGTCCTTTGAGAGTCCCTGAAAGAGAAGAAGAGGGTTAGGAGAATTTGAGCTGTCCGTGGTGCTGAGACATTCTCCCATGGTTTTCATAGTAGCCTTCGGCAATAAATAGTGACATTTCCTGGGACTGTTTATTACAGTGCCCCTGGTATAGGTCTCATGTGATATTATTCAGCCAAAATGAGGGAGCCCATGAACTTTACCAAAAGCCTGGCTTTATATCGGCACATATGAAGAGTAACTTGGTCAGTTGAACTTACAATTTTTAAATGGGATCAAGTTTCTTATACACTTATAAATATAAGGTGGTATTAAATCCATTTTACATGGGTGAAAAAAATACTAATCTATAGATCGTCAGCCTTTGAATCAGTCTGATTTCATTATACTTAATAGGTATTCAGTTACTGTGTGCATGTTATAAGTTACAGCTTTATGATCTTTGCATCAGAAGTAGGAGGCAATGTTAGTAATCCATACCAAATAGGACTTGTTGTGAAGCTTGAATGAGTTATATATGTGAGCATAGTGCAATGTGTAGCCTGGGGCAAGCACCCACCACTGATAGCCATTGTGTGGGGGACATGCTGCTTTTCACTGAGCAGACTGTCTTACAGTAATCTGCTTACTCCCCCTGCCAACCCAAGTCTGTGAGCATTTATTGGGAATCACTCTGTACAGTTCTGGTTGTACACAGAACAAGGGGCCTGGTTTTAAGACAAGTAGGGCTGAAATTCAGTTGCTGTTCTTTACCTGACCATGAGCCTGTCCTGGAAGTAGCATCCTTTGTTCCAAGCTGTGTACCTCTGGGGCTGTGCCCACCCACAGGGGAAACTGTCCCCCCCCCAGGGTGGTACTTTCTTCCAATTACACAAAGATGTTAACTGTCCCCCTATTTGAGGGTGGTACTTTCTTCCAATTACACAAAGATGTTGCTCAGGCAGGAGAGGCCCTGCCATCACCAGAGACATTTCAAAATCTCGCCTGATCTCGCCTGTGTGCTTCAGTAGCAGCAGTAGCAGAGTGAGCATCCATTTGGGATGTTTGAGACATCCTAGGAGGACTAGTGTCTGCCTAGAACTCTCCAGAGCCCTGTCCCCTGATGTCAGCAAAGGCCTTCACTAGTGCAGGGCAGGACTGGGTCTCCAAGTGGCACTGACTAGACCAGCACTGGCGATCTTAGCCTCCCATCACAGGGAGGGTTTAGGGGGCCCATGATGGGTGCTAGGCTTGGGGCACAGCCAGGCCATCTGTAGGCTTGAGGACAAACAGGAAGCCATCCCCTCCTGGGACTTCCTTTCAGAAGCCAGACACTCAGAATACAAGGCACACAGCCTCAGAACCCTCAGGAGTTGTGTTCAGATGCAGTGGGATGAGATAAGGAACTTCCCTGGCTCTGCTGTAGGGACTCCCCCATGCACACCCATGAGCCTTGCAAGCCCCTCTCTGAGGGGCTCCTTATAGAATCCTGGCCAGTGAGGATCACCAGTGTGTACTGATGTTATCCAGGCAGCGGGCTAAGTGCTTTATCCCTACATCTTGGTGACAAGCCTCCAAGGTGGGTTTACACCCATTTACATGTGAGGAAGTTGGAGTGTACATTCCTGGAGGATCAAGGGTAGAGCTGGGCTCCAAGCAATCTGTCCAGCCTCAGCTGCTTGTCACCCCAACATCCTTGAGCCTGGACTTGGGCGGTGTCGGTATCAGGAGAGCTGGGCCTCCCAGAGGCAGGCTATGTGGCTGAGGTCCACAGCAATGCAGGGCATGCCTGTGCCCCCTGCTGCCTTCACATGCATGCCTCTCTTCATGCCCAACCTTCACCAGGGACCCTAGCCCTGTCATCCTTACCACCTTTGGTGATATGACCCAGGACATGCCACCTGGAGGTGACAGATTAGCTAAGCCTTATTTCCAACCCAGAACAGTAGAGGTCAGAGGGAACTAGTCCAGCCTGCCTTCCCCACTGTGCAGAGACTCTCAGCCTCCATCGACAACCCCCAGGAGGGTAGTTTAGGCAGGGACGGTCTTCCTAAATAGACACCAATTTTTTCCTCAGGATGAGGCTGACAGCCAGACCAGTCATAGGGAGCAGGTTGTATCAGGGTATTCCTACCATGTTGAGGACCCCATCCTGCTGCATGCACATGGACAGTTGTTGCTGACGCCCCAGCCCCGCAGTCCCACGGCATGTCTGGTGGTGTCCAGGCTCCAATGGCCTTTCTTTTACTTTTCCTCACTGCTTTTTGTGAGGTCTAATTTCTGATGTAAATTAATCATTGATTCCCACTGTCCTTGCTTATTGGTATTTTACCCAGTATCTGTTCTACCTGATGCTCCTGCAGAGGACAGCAATGAAGAATAATCGATGACTATTTGCTGTTGCCTGCTTATTTGGAGAGCCCTCCTTCCTCACCACTACTCTTTCATACTAACTACTTTGGGCTGTTACTCTCGATTCTGACAGCCACAACTCTGCCCCTCATTTACACTTGGATTTGACCCTTGCACTAGGTTCTCGGGGTCCCAGGCACGCAGGGAAACGTGAGTGGGTTGGTGATCAGGTACCCAGTGAGCCAGGCTCACATCAGGTGCAGGCTCTGCCAGGCATCAGTCGCCCGACTCAGAGGCATCCCGGGTAATCTAGCCTGACAGGTGGCAAGAGGGATCCCAAGGCCCCTTAGAAGAGGGATGCTAAAGGGGGCCTTTGTCTCAGAGCTGGCGATTAGGTTGCAGCGCTTTGTGCCAGCAAGTCCAAGGGCGGGAGTGCTTGGTGTGAAAGGACAGAGAAACTTCAAAATCCAAGACTGCAGATCCAGGGAGCTGGCTACATCATTCCTGCAACTTCCAAATCAGGTGGAAGGATCTGTTCACCCAAAGGAGAAATCAAACTGCCATCAGCCAGCTTCCAGCTCTGAGAGGGCTCATAAAAGCTCCTTGAACTATTTTTTGATCCCAGTGCTGCTATTGTTTGCTTCCCTCTGTTTCTCCTGGGCTCACAGTAGAGTTTTGTTAGGGAGATGGCAGGCGAGCACTCGAGCATGTAATGATTGTGAAGTTTAATTCCACCTTGGAAGTACTTTTCTACTGCCTTCACTATGCCTTTCCTGGCCCAATAACCCTGTCTTTCTCTTCCCTCCTCCTTACCTTTCCCCATTTTCTGATTCTCCACAGAACAAAGAGTTCAAGACCCTGTCGGAGCAACTGTCCACGGTCACCTCCATACACACCATGGAGGTGGAGAAGCTGAAGAGGGAGCTGGCACATTACCAGCAGAACCAGGTGGCCGATGCCAGCCTGCAGCTGCAGGAGGAGGTGCAGAGCCTGCGCACGGAGCTGCAGAGAGCCCACTCGGAGCGTAGGGTCCTGGAGGATGCCCACAGCAGGGAGAAGGACGAGCTGAGAAAGGTATGCCTGAGCCAGAAGGGCAGGGCTGGCGACCGGCTGGCCAGTGCAGCACCCCTCAGAGACCGTTTCTTCTTCAAGCTGGGAAATCACCATGGCTTTAATGGGGCTCATACCCACAGACCAGCCATCTTTCTGTGCTTATACAGAAAGTGGCCAGGTTCTGGGTAAGCCAGACAGATGTGCCCATTCACTGAACAAGTGTCGATTGAGCTTCTACCATTGGCTACACCCTGGTGTCTCTTGAGAGGGATACACAACCTCTGCCTTTACGTATCTCTCTTACAGCCTAGAGTTATTCTCTGGATCTGCTAAGGCCTTAATACTGTTGGCAAGAGAGTTGTTACAGAGATCATGATTGCTCTAGGGCTTAGGGGTAGCTTCTAGATGTCACTTCCCATCCATAAGAGGTCACTGTGCTTTGGGGAATTTGCTCAAGTTTATGTAGTCAGTTCCAGCCTTCCCTGCTGTTTGGTATGCTTCCCCATGAAGTAGATTTCCTAGGATCTACCCAGCAGCCCCAAACATCAGGACACAAATAATCTCTTTTCTAGTCCCAAGATACCTGTTCCAACCAGGAAAGTCCCAGAGTGCCACTCGAGAGCCCTCTATGGACTTAGGACACAGCTGCTGACTCCCCATCTCTGTAGTGACCTACAGGCCACAGGGAAATAGCACATTACTCACATGCTTAGCACTCATCACTGGAGAAGTCCCATTGGGTTGGGAATCTAAGGAGTGGGAGATTCAGTGTTCCTACATTATATTTCAAAATTAGGGTGGATTGAGAGCTGACACAAAGAGGGCCCTGGAGCAGGCCTCAGAATACTGACCTCGTCCCTACTTCCTCATGGTCAAGCATGTGCAGGAAACCTCACTGGCCTCTATTACCTGTGTGTATGAAAGTTCTTCCAGATCATCTCTAAGGCTCCCTCTGGACTTGCACTGGCTGATGCTGTGAGGTTGTGTTTGGCTTCTAGAAGGAATAGAGGACCTCAGCTCTGTTTTGGAGTCCTTTGTCCTCTGCTACCCTGCCTCCCTTTCTGGCCTCAAACCTCACAGCTGAGAACCGCAGATTCCCATTTGAGATGAAACCTGCAGAGCCAGCTCATGCTGGATTTGTCTACAACATTTTCCCACCCCAGGCATGACTCCTGCACCATCAGCCTTTGCCTTCCCCCCAGATGCCAGGGATTTCCAGGGTCAGAAGTGAGATCCAGATGGGTATTTGGCCCAGAAGAATGTCAGACACAGGGCTTGGCAGTGCAGGCAGCCCACCCTCCTAGTGGGTTGCTTTGAGGCATTACAAAATCCTCTGCCCAGGTAAACCACCTGCCAGCTTACCCACCACAAGGTCTGGAGTGGGCTTCCTCCTTTGGGATGAAGTATGTGGTACCAGGCTACAAGCCAGTAACCGTCAAACCATGGATTGTGCACTTGTGCTCTGCTGACGCTTGGAGCAGATGAGTGGGTAGCCCTTCTGTGTAAATAAAAACAGGAAGGTGGACTCCAAAGGCAAAAAGAAGAGGTCAAGATTAGAACTGGGAACTTGAGATTTGTGACCCTGGGAGGAAAGACGACTCCCTGCACATGCATCTAAGTCAGAGTAGACACCTGGGAGGTCTGTTCACCTCCACAAAACCAAGGTCTCTCCTATCTCTGTCTCCCCGGGTTGCACTGACCCATCATCCCTGCATTCCCTGTTTCCTGCTTAACAGTGCAATGTGGAGACTCCCAGCACTTTTCAAACATCCAGGTCTCCATCCAAAGGGGCATAAACAGTGTATCATGAACATTTTCCTTGGCAGAGCAAAATACAGAAAGCAGATTTCTGCCTTCTCTTTTAAAAAAAAAAAAAATTGCTATTTCCTAGGAGTATATTGGCTTAGGTCTTAAATAAAATTACAGCTTGAAACTGGCAAGAAAGCAAGGATTCTGCAAGGAGAACAATAGGCAAAGAGCAGAGCCCCTTTCTCTGACTCCACACAGAAGCAAAACCTAAGTTGCAAAGACTCAAGACACCACCATGATCCATTAAGTGGATCATCTTTCCAAGGAAGGGGTTGTTGGTGGGGGGCGGCAAAAGTAAGCATTCTTTCTTCTTGAGGGTCTACTACAACTTTTTATTCTGGTGGTTGGGGAAAGGTAGAGGGGCTGATTTGCTTCGTTTCTGTGCCTAGTCAGGGCTTCATATTTTTTAAAGGCTCTGTGTCCAATCTTAACAAATGCTGAATAATCAGACAGTTGGCTTCCTCCTAGAGGTATCCAGGGGCCTACTCTGCACTGAGCAAGATTGATGAGACCAGCAAAGCACAGTGAGGGAGCCAATGACTGCTGGTGGATGTTTAATTAATGAGTTTGATGTTTCTGTTGGCAGAAGCAGCAAATGTTGTATTGGAACTGGCATCCTGGAACATGTCAGCCCCACCCCGATGGCTTTAACTGGGAAGCCACGTGGCTGCACTGCCTCGGCCTGTGGGGACAAGGAATTCATATCTGTGTCCTCAGAGCCCAGGGCATCCCCATGTCACAGCCCAGCCTCATCCTTTTCTACTTAAAAAAAAAAATTATTTCTTAGGCCCCTCCACAACATGATCCATACCTATGCCCTTAACCTCCTTCCTGTTTGTTATTTCTTGAAGCCTCCACCAACCCTATGCTGCCTGCTTTTATGCATCTGTGCTGTTTTGTATGACTGCCATTTGGTGTCCCTGATGAAAGGGAGGCTCCCAGGGCTGCCCTTGGCGCACAGGCAGTAGCTCATTATCCAGAACCTGCTCTGAAGGTTGTTTGGTCATAGTGAGGCTTAGCTGGCTGCAAGGTTGCGATGGGTGAAGTGGAGCCACCAGCAGCCAGCTGCCTGACACAGTGGGGCCATTGACATTTGCAGGCCCCGGGCCCTGAGCATTGAGAGTGGTACATTGTATCAGGTCATCAATCACAGGGACATCAGATGTTCTTTGATTACCTTGAGTGGTTCCAGTGTAAGACTGAAGTTTGAGATTTTTTTCAGAAGGAAGCAGAGGGATCTGCCTGGGTGATTCTTTACACTACAAAATACAGAGCAGGACTTCTGTGGCAGCTAAGACTCAAAGTTGTACTCTCAGTGGCACAGGGTCCTGGCTCATGAGGAGCTAATGGTTATTAGGAAAGGCTCCTAACCCATCTCTGTGGTGTCTCATTCAGCCATCTTTCAGCAGGGGTTTCCTGATTGCCTGTGTTAGGGACTGTTCTACACACTGGGGCAAAATTAATCAAAAAAGGTCCTTCTCATTCCTAGGGAGCTTACATATGGGGGATAAGAGGAGACAGATAGGCGTCAAACCCAGATTATCCATCATGTGCTATAAGGAAAAATAAAAGAGTGACCTGTGGAGGGAGGAATGTGATTCCTTTGTAATGGCCAAAGATGTCCCCACGGAGATGGCCCTGAGCAAAGAGGGTAAGTTGTGAGGTACAGGTGACAAGTGTATTAGATGCAGAACAGCAAGGAAGAGAAGGGTAGGAGGGGGAGGTCAGAGAGGCAGTGGGCCAGACCAGGAAGGACCTTCTGACCTCAGGCAGCATTAGCCCATGAAACCTCCAGACATGTGCAACAGTAGGTTCTTTGAGCTTGGGGATGGGAGATCATCGAGGTGACATCTCCTGGGCTACTGTGAAGGTTTGTGTTTTAGACGTTTTCAAAGTTGCCTCAATGTTCAAAGAACGTTGGTTTTCAATTCCTAGTTGTTTTAAAATTAATGTTGTGAAGCAGGCAGATCGTCCCAGGGAACAAGACTTTCCATTAACCAATTTCCAACTATCCTTACAGCTCACAAAGTAGCCCATCACTTCCTCTGGGCATCCTATACACAGTCAAAGTCCCTCTGCAATGGAGCATGCCATTGGTCAGTACGGAACACAGGTCATTTCCACTAGATGGAACCGGAAATCTCCATTCCTATGACCACTAGCAAATACCACGGAACTTCATTGCAACAACCTGTGATCTGAGACAAGAATACAATACAAGGGGGGTGGGTGGTGTTATCTCTTGTTTTTGAGCCTCATTTCCTCCCTGTAATGTTTGATTCAGGAATGCAGGTCTCTCGGTGAACTTGACTTTCAACAGGTGTTTACTGAGAGTCTGTGTGTGTCAGGTACTGTTCTGCACACTGGGCTTATTTGGAAGAGAAATTTACTCTTGGAGAATGAGCACGTAACTCTTCAGGAGTCTATAGAATTAAAGACTCGTCTCTGCCAAGGGCTGTGCTTGTACAATTTCTTCTTAAGGTAGGTGCAGCATGTGGACAGGCAGGAAGTGGAATGCTCAGAACAGGGTGCCTGCACTCCCGTTGCTGTACAAACAGAGGGTTCATTCTGTAACCTTGTGGGCCCAGGAAGGAGGGGGATTTTTCCCACAAAAAGGAGCTGGACTTCACTGATGCCAGTCTCTTTGGTCCATCCTAAAAGATGTTCTTGCTGAGTTGCTGCTGCTCCAGCCTGTGTTCTGGTTCACTCTTTGTGTAAACCTTTAGCTCCCAAGGGCTTCTTGTTCTGACAGTCTCATCTTTATGTGATTCTTTTTTTTTTCCCCAGCATCTTCATTCTGTGGTCCTCCAAGCCTGGAGTTTCCTCCCCTGTCCTCAGGATCCAAAGTCCTCCTCTCTTCCTTAGGTTCAGCTCAGCCCCCTCCCCTCCTCCATGCACTCTCTCCTGGTCCCTCCTGCTGTTGAAACCAGTTATGTGAAGCTGACTCTCGATTGTTCATTGCTGTTTCTTCTTTGCCTCCCAAACTGTCAGAAGACAGGTTGCCAAGTGGTTCAGAGCCTAGGGAAACACCCAGACTGCTCAGGGAAAGCCGTGTATACCCCTTCCTGGCTGTGTGTACTTGGTGAGTTCTCTAATGCACCTGGGCCTTAGTTTTCTCGAAAGCAAATAATGGGGCTGGGAGTATAGCTCAGTGGTAGAGTACTCGCCTAGCATGCGTGAGACCCTGGGTTCAGACACCACACCATGGAAAA